AGCCAGCCAAGCAAGATAATTATCGTAGATTTGAGTGTTAAGCTTTTCTACTGCAGGCAAAGGAACAGGATTATTGTTCAGGGCTTCATAAAAGCTATATTTAGTCGCCGCTTCTCCATGTGTAGTTAAGCTGTGCTTATCCAAARCACGTGTAGTAGAAAACTTTTTCTGACATATAACGCAATGAGTTACAAGAGACATTTCAGMTTTATGMTTGTTAAAACACCGACTTGTCACTTGAATATGCTCCACTGAGGACTAATAATTATACCCAATGAATAAGAATAATCTAATGGTGAAGATACAAGTCAAGTATATACCTAAAAACATCTAGAGCGGAAGTATGTCATTATCAACCAATAAGAAACAGCCATTTGTTCATATTYATTTAAATATAACCTATTAMTTTCTGTGTCGATGCTATCACGTTAACTATGGAAGATAGTCCAGGTAGTCCAGTTAAAGCGAAGCGTAAATGTTATAGCAGACCACATACAAAGGAAGAACGAAAACAGGAAAAGAAGCGACACAGAGATCGAAAACAGTTTTTAAAAAGACAAGCGCGTCAAGATGTTGGCAAAACTGTAGGAAATCCTGTTGAACATTCAACTAAACTTCAACCAGGAGTTGGAGCTCTACAGGTCGCCAATCAAGGTATCCAGACTGAGAACCGTTTGGAGAAGAAAGGAATTCTTGATAAACCATCCAAGATTACTAACATTGAATGCAAACATATTTCAACACTAGAAAAAAGTCAAATAATTGGAAGTGGTACATATGGCATTTGCTATAAAGGCTATTACCATGGTAATATTCATGTGGTTATTAAGACTTTTCGAGACTCGATCTCAAAATCAGAAGTAGTGCGTGAGGCCGCAGCAATAGAAGACCTCCAGAAATTAAAGCACCACATTTCACTGCCACTATTATTCGGCATGAATTTGGATGTACTACCTTTCCTGTTGGTAACACAGTTACACGCCACAGAAGATAATAATACCCACACATTGAGCCAAACCATGAAAGATCGGCTTTTAGGAAGAAGTGAAATGATGGATGTTATTATACAAATTGCTACAACACTTGGCTACATTCATTCTAGAGGCTGGTTGCACAATGATTTAAAGGAAAACAWMATTGTTCTCCACGTGATTTCCGGGCGTTGGAATCCAGTCATTATAGACTTTGGGAAAAGCGTTTTAATAAAGAAAGCCCAAGTTAAAAGAAAAACCAACCCAGAGCCCTCAAAATATCCATGGATAGCTCMARAGGTACTGGAGGGCCGGTCTGCCCCATCTGTTTCAAGCGATATCTTTTCTTTGGGACTGATGACCAAACACATCTTTAAAGCTATSAAAGTACGAGCTTCAGAGTCCCTCTACTCGTCCTGTCTTTCAGTTGTTGCAGATGAACGTCCAAAGAATGCGCAAATAGTTGCTGTCTCGCTATTGAGATTCAAGAAATCTAGTATTGCAAAATGATAACGTAGGCATTGATTTGCTTGACTACTATTAGAATATGAATAAACCCTTGTAGGGTATAGCTGCCAGCTAACAATTGACTATTGTAAGTACGAAATTTTAGAAATAACTTTATTCCATAAACACCAGTAATGGTACATTAGAATTTTGTAAATTTAACATTTTAAAATACAAACTTAGAAATATAACTAAAACAAAATAATACCATATTGCACTAATCTTTGCACAAATTTAGAATTTCAAAACAATATTTTGCAGATATTTTGATAGAATTGATTCGTCTTTCATTGATGATATATATAGAGATAAGCTATTTCCCAGTGATGAACTCTTTTTAGAATTAACTTTTATTCGTCTATTTTTATCAACGTAACATGTAGTGTAGCCGTTTTTAAAAAAAATACTTTAATTGTAGTATTTTATATATTCGAATTTATCGAATTTAGACAGAAAACGGTAGGATATTTACTGAAATAAAATATAAATATCACYGCCAACTTTTCGAAAATACAATCAGTATAAGCAGTTTATATAAGTATGAGTTTTTTTAGAGTAAATCAGCAAAACAGGCATGTTTATTATGTTTATTTATATAAATTTGAAATTCTTAATGGCTTGAAATGCACACAAAAAAACTTCATTTCAATCCCGCGTACTACGGAGAGACCAAACAATAAAGTAATAATGCCGGCTCTGTGTTTACTTTAAGCTTCACCTAAAGGTCATGATAAAGACTGTTTTTAGTTAACATGATGACCGATCAACGTCACCACTTGGTGGCTTAATTGACAACTTTCACACATTTTGAGAGGAGATTAGAGACCCCTGCTTTGAATTTTTTTC